TATATATATATATATATATATATAATGTCCATTGAATGATTTTGCCTCAGATATCACTTAAAATGCAGCCTTGTTCAGGTGAGATAGAAGAAACTCCCCAAGTAGTTCCCTGTTCCACGTTAGTACGAGGACAACATGGGAAGCTGGCTGACCCACATGAGTGTCCAATTTATTGATTTATTTATTTTTATTGCTGTCCATAAATTAATGTCATTTTTTTTAATACTATATAAAGGTCTCGTTCATTTTACCGATTCAAGTTTTAAGTTTCTATAGTTAAAAGCTCTCAGAAAATATAACATCTAACTCTTTCTGCTACAAATAAAACCCCTAAAAAAATATCATATCTCAACTCAAATTGAAAATTTAAATCTGCGAAGCGAACGAGGTCAAAGTAGCATTGACATCATTATTGTACTATTAAAAACTTTTACAGTATGGAGAGAAGCATATGAGAGGTGAGAATATGATAATTTGCACAGTTTATATTAGAATTTATAAATTTTAAACGTTGCAGTTGTATATATCATGATAGATTTGTGAATATCAAAAGTTATGAGATAACTTATTGCATTACATATTTGGAAGATGTATTTGTAAACTTTAAACGTTAAAGTTGTAAAAATAGACATGTAAATTGACATAAATACAGTAAAACAACCATAGAAAGACTGTCAATATTTAGGTTAGACGAATAATAGTGTGGATAAATATTAAGGTGGATTAGAGAATTGGTATTCAAATATATTTTGATGAAAAACATAAATATAGTTGATAGATAAAAGTAGTGCACGTGAATAACTAGATTTCAAAATTGAAGACACGTACTAGTTATGCCTAAAAATTGGGGTTTTTTCTTTATATATAAAAAAAGTGGTAGTGATTTTTTTTGTCAAAATTGGATTGGTTTAAATGTAAAAATTAGTAAAACAACCAACATTAGACGGACTGAAGTGCATTTGAATTGTCACCCGATGCTGACAATTATAATAGAGGTTCTTCTCGTTGAAAATGATAGTTATGGTTCATAAAGCTCTAAAAAAAAAGCTCATTTTACCGATTTAAGTTAGAATTTGAGTTTTACTACAGTAAAAAAATCTCAGAAACAGTCACATCTAATTTTTTTGTTATAGTAAAAAATTCACACATAAAATCACATCTTAACTCGAATCAACGGGCCTAAATTAAATGAATAGTGATTCATATAATATTTTTTGGATAGATTCGTACACTTCATTTTAACTATAAAAAAAGAAAAACTTTAAAATATGAAGGCGCCATTTCCGTGCATTTTTTCCAGTTAACGTGCATGTAATTCTCAAGTTTTACAAGAAATACCTCTTTTTCCTTTTAAGATACGCTACAACTATAATAGAGGTTCTTCTCGTTGAAAACGTTACAAATCCAAAAACAAACTCCGTAAAATACTCAAAAATGACAAAACTAAACAAAAAAAAAACAACTAAATTGAAGTTTAAGTATAGCAAATTTACTGGTCCTATAAGTTGAGATCTAAAAAACATATATCTTTATTTATAATGAAATGACAGAAACTAACAAAAAGAAGAAGAAGAAGAAGAAGAAGAAGGAGAGAGAGAGAGAGAGAGAGAGAGAGAGAGAGAGAGAGAGAGAGAGTAAAGGATATGCCAAAAGTGGCATTTAAATAAACAAAATTTAGTAGCATTATTATTTCCTCTTATGACGAAAAGGAAGTGGGTTTAGTAAGTGAAGGAATATAAAATTGTTGTAGATGATAGAAAATAACTCAATTATTGAAACAACTTGTACAGAAGAGTAGAGATCTGGGGTTGACAAAGATTGGTAGCATTTGGAATCCTACTCGACTTCACAGAAAGGAAAAAGTGCAAATCATTTATATTAATTAATAAACATGGAAAAAAAAGAAAGAAAAAAGAACAACATCACAAGCCAATATCAACATGAGTTGGTGGGAAGCATAACTTGTAGCATCCACATGCTTTGTTTAGAAAGTCTTTTGGAGACACACACAAAAATAAAATAAAATAAAATAAAATAAAATAATAAAGGAGACTTATTAGTTGGCGCAATCAAAACCCGCCAAGTGCGCATTTTTGATTCATCAAGTGGCATTGAAAAGTTTTTTATAAAAAAAAAAAAAAATGCCAAATGGCCGGGGTCTTATTGGTTATTATTTTAGTCGAATTTGCTCCAACAACACTCACATGTATGCACTTCGAACAACCCATAAGTTCGCAATCATGATAACCACACTTTATTCGTAACAATTAGCATCGTTTCAAAAATATGAGAAATTAAGCAATAATTGCTAGTGCCATGAATAGTCTTATTCCATAATAATAATAATAATAATATTATTATTATATATTCAGGTCATGATAATCTGCTACTATCTGAATCAAATGTGTTGATACTTGATAATATGATTCCTCGTGTCACCATTTGGTAGGAAAAGCAAATGTCTTCAAATTAATAAATTTTTTTTTAAAAAAAAAAAGGTATGATAGGTTAGGTAGGACTTAAGGTATTAGTTTTCTGTTTTCTAGTTTTCCTTCGCTTTCATTTTTGAAGTATTCTATCCAAAAACTAGAATTAATACTAGCAGAATTCAGTACCTTGCCAAGAGATGATCTAGGGGTTGTTTGGTTGGGAGATTTGTACCCCGATTCGAATCATGGTTCATAGTTCGCTACAGTATTTTTTCTCACAAAAAATACACGTAAATCAAAAATAATTCTAATCTATGAACCAAACGTCTCACTAGTATCATAATAGGACTCCAATCCTCGAAGGTCGGCCATTGTCAGTTGTCGAAATTATCAATATCATCCTAGATATCTCTAAGTATGATGGTAGAATACTAGTATTTTTTTTTTAAATAATTGTGGAACTTTTATGCTCCGTTTATTTTGAGGGTTTTGATCTAATTCTGAATCATAGTTCTAAGTTTATTACAGTGTTTTTCCCTCATAAAAAATTTAAATTTAAAAAATCAAAATCATGAATTATAATTCTGAATCCATAAACCAAACGTCATCTTTAAGTACAATGGTTTGATGCCGACGCTTGACCGCAGATTATCGTTGATTGCTAGAATTTTTGAAGTATTCTACCCAAAATTTCATATCAAAGGAAGAAGTGGCTTCCCTGTTCTATATTTAGCTGGGCCAGTGGCCCAACATAACCTTTCTCCAAGGGCCCAATAACACTCTTACGTATCTGATGTCCATCTTATAGAGTCGTTTGACAAATACTAGAAAAAAATAAAATAAAAAAATAATAGTAGTAAACTTGAGGAATACCCCCTTAAAGAGCTGACCTTTCTGATGATTCATGCCCCTTGATATTATGGTTAATTTGCTCACCCGCATTGGAAGACATTATGATTAGAAATAGAAATAAACATGCAATGAAATAATAAAACAAGTAAACATTATATGAAATATATATATATATATGTATTTCAATAAAATACAAATACGTATAAATGCACGAAATGCATGTGTATTTCGGAACACAATAACAAAACGCCCCTAAACGTATCATGTCAAGACCCTCCTCCCTATTTATTGTGCCATTTAGAAATCTCATATTAAGCTATAATCAACTACCAATTGTAATTAACTTTTTTTAAGTAAGTAATTAACATATTATTAGTGTGATAATATCAACTAAAAACTTTTAAGAACAAAAGAAGTCACTCCCTCGTTTCCTCCCTATCTCCAAGTCTTCGCAGTCGAGTATAATAAAAAGATAATAGCCATTAAATAATCTTTCTTGGGTGCATTGGTATCATTAGACAAATCTGACCATCAAATAATAGCCGTCGAAATCAATTGAAATGGAAAGTAGCATAGAAACAACGAAACTCACAGGAAGTTCACACAAACGACATTTGATAGATGACCATAGATATTCGCATCTTTTGTTTTCTTTTATTTTTACTTTTATACCAAAATTTATTAGGGAAAATGGTTTATAATAGAGCCAACATTAGAATTTCTCATCCTGGAAATTTCTTGAAAGTAGAAAATGAAAAGGGGGAAAACAAGAAGAAGAAAGGCAAGAAGGGAGAACTCAAATTCCATAGCTAACTAATTGCAAGAATTTCCAACAAATTTTTTTTTTTTTTCATCTTAGATCTGAAACCTATAAATGGTTTTCAAGAAAAATTAAGAAATGGATTCTAGTTAGCTAAAAAAATATATATTACTGATTTGATTTAATAATATATAAATAATTTCGAAGAAAACTCAAATTAGTAAAATGAACGAAATCAAAAAGAGAATTATAAAAGAATTGAAATCAAAACCCAAAAATTTCTGTAGCTTTAATTTAATATGAGAGGTAAAAGTTTTGTATAATTTATTTGTGTAAAAAACCGAGTCCAATTATTAGCATATTTGTTTTTTCATTAAACAAGTATTATTCGAATTTTATTCTCAATTTTATATCGGTTCATAACTTTTAAAACGTTCTTAAATTAATCTCAATTTATTAATTTATTTCAGTTTTAGTCAGTTTCATTATTTAGATGTTAAAAAGAGGATGAAATATGCATGGTGATGTTGATAGAAAATTATATTATGCTCATAAAACACAAAATATTGATGTAATTTTGACACGAAAATGGGAAAATATAACACTATGAGTCTAAGCTAATTGAATATCATATATATTTTATTTTTATTTTAATACATGATTAAAGAAAGTGGACTAAAATTGAAATAAATTATATCTTAGGTCCCGTTCATTTCACCGATTTGAGTTTAGAATTCGAGTTTTGTTACAGTAAAAAACTCTTAGAAACAGTCACATTTAATTTTTTTATTACAGTAAAAAAAATTCTCACATAAAATCACATCTCAACTCAAATTAAAAACTCAAATCAACAAATTAAACGGACTTTCTAAGTTGAGTTTGAGACGTTTTAAAAATTAGAATTTACAATAGGATTGACAACAAGCTTTACGTATCATTTCTAAAGATTAACCCTATTTTTGCAACTCAATTATTGATCGGCTTTCATAAAGAAAATAAAAACTAAAGAAAAAAGCTCATATCTCTCTCACACTCTCACACAGAGTCTGTCAAACCCACCCACCGCAGTGCTTAGGCAGTTATGCCAAAGGCAACCCAGCTCAAAGTCACATCCTCTCTCTTTCTCTCTCTAACTTTCTCTCTCCCTCTCTCTCTCTCTCTAAATGGACACGATCTCACCGACGGCCTCCACTCCCACCCTAATCATCCGTCCGCCACCGCCTTTCCCGGCACCGCCTCGCTCCGTCGACCTCTCCGCCCTCGAATTCATTCTCGGCATCATCGCCGTCATAGCCATTCCCGCCCTCATCTACACCTTCTTCTTCGCCGTCAAATGCCCTCCCGATCCCCTCCGCCGCCACCGCCGCCAAACCTCCTCCGACAACCCTCCGGAAATCCCGGAGCCTCCGGCGGCTGCGGCGGCGGAGACATCGGAGGTGAAGTACAGCAAGGACACGCACGGCAAGGGCGAGTGTCCGATTTGTCTGTCGGCGTTCGCGGAGGGTGACGAAATCAAGAAGATGAGCGCGTGCGACCACGCTTTCCACCGCGCGTGTATAGACACCTGGCTGAGCTCTCACCCGAATTGCCCCGTTTGTCGGGCCTCCGTCGCCGTTAACGTTGACGATAATAAGAACCGGCCGAGCGGTGGCGGAAGTGGCAGTGGCAGTGGTGGTAATAATTCCAACAACCGGGGGTTGTCTCGCAGTAGAAATGATGATTTGCATCAAGGTTTGCCCGATGCTGCCAATTTGGTTTGATTGTTTTTGTTTACTCCGTTTGATGATGGGATTACGGTGGGGAATGCTACACAGAATAATTCGCTCTTTTTTTTGCTTTTTTTGTTTGAATAGGAAAGAGGAAGTAATTAGATATCAATTAATTAGGGTCGTTGTTAATGTTTGCAGAGAGAGAGAGTGAGGATTGAAGAAAAAAAGAGTAGAAATTAGATAAATAGAATTTGAAGGAAATTTTATGTATATTAATTCTTTCTTTTTCTTTCTAGTTAGTTGTATATCTCTCCATATAAAAAAGAATTCTAAACGGTTTTTTTTTTTTTTTTTTTTTTTTGGTGGATAAGGATTTTGAAGGTTAGCTAGCTTCAAATTCACCTTAACGATCTAATTATTGTCCGAATACCACATGCTTTATCTTGTCCTGCACATAATGTCTCTTTTTCTTTTCTTTTTTTTCTGCATAATAATCAATTTTAGACACTAGACAGGACACGTGGCTTTTTTCTGCTTTTATTATTTTGTTTTCGTCAAAAAAAATAAAAAAGAAAAATTTTCCCCACTTGTTTCTAGTACTTGAGAATAGAAATAGTTCCTTGAAAAAAAAAAAAAAAAAAAAAAAAAAAGTTACACCGACATATTAGAAAATCTCTTAAAAAAAAGTTTCTTAAACCGACTTTTAAAAATCATACTACAAGATATTTCAGTTGACAAATAAATAAAAACCATTACATCAGTACAATTAGTAATTGATGAAATTTATTTATTACAACAAATATTCCATTTGAGACTACCCATAGTAAGAAGTTTGTGGATTAAAACCATTTTGCTCTCAGCATTGCAGCTGTATCTAGTACACAAAATCAACTTTCTATAACCTTTAATTGTTATTAATATTGTTTTAAAAAATGTTTTCCACCGTTCTTGCAGTAGAAAGTCACGTGTTTGTTGTGTAATAACTTGAAGTTTTATAAAAATAGTACTACAAAATACTCAAATTTTCAAATGCCTTGAAGGTATTGAAGAGAATATTGTATGTCTTATTCGTTTGTTCAAATAAAATTTCAAAGTTATCACCAAGAGTTGAAAACTCCATCATCAAATTTTTATGACCATAGGTTAAAGATGCGACAAAAGAAAAATCTAAGGAGTAACTGTTTATAAAAATTTAGTAATTGTTTATAAAAATTTTAAGAGATCACAATTATTATAACATGATCAGTTTTTTAAAATTACATTTTTATTTTTACCGCGAACAAAACTATTTTGATATCACTTTCAAATTGGGAAATTCTCGTTTCAAGGGATAGAGTTAAGGTCATGGTTCCGGTCACAAAACCTTATGATAAAGTGCTAAGTAGCCAAAAAAAAAAAAAAAAAAAAAAATCTTCTGATAAAGTGCTAAGTGGCCAAAAAAAAAAAAAGAAAAGGAATATGTGATGGTTGACAACTTACCAAACCCCTTCAATTAATTTCAAAATTGTGGGATTGAATCTGCTTCCTTGGGAAAACTACAGGTGTAGGCTCTTTACTAGCGATTACCTCCAATTATCATCAACAACTAAAAAGGATGAAGTTTGTCCTCACTCCTAGTGACCCACTAATTACGCGGTTATTTCTCGGTATCACAAATGTGGGTCCACATTATCACCTAATTATACTGCCTATATTAATTCCTAGGCTCGTCATTACCTCAAATGACCCAACTTTTAGCAAATTTACTGATAAAATTAGGTCCTCGCTTTGTGTCATCAAATAAATGGTCTTTCAATTAAGGACGAGAGGATGAGCAAATGATGATGATGATAATAAATTAATAATTAGTAACAATAATTAATAATATGGTAATCCTTAGTCTATCAAAAAAGGAAGGGAGGGTGAGTTTGTTCAATGACTCAATGGGAGTAGTTTTGATTTCAAATCTAAAGGTGTAATGATGAGGTGAGCATGTGCATCTAGCCACCCTTTCAACGGAGATTGTGAAAAAATGGTGTTATTCGGCGGCCGTTTCAGCCTTTCAGGTGTACATACTTCGTGCAACCATCATATCTGGGGTCTCTTCTTTTAATACGTTTTCTTTTAGTTTTAGTTTTTTTTTTTTTTTTTTTTTTTTTTTTTGTTGAGATGGTAGTTTTAAAATTTGTAAAATTATTGATTTTAGTTTTAAAATATTTAATTTTATAAAATAATTGTATTACACCAATGTGTACAAAACAAGGTAAAATGATATTCTTAGAAATTTTAAAAAAATTATTTTATGTAACCAAACGTGTTAATACATATATTTTAAGAATTATATTACTTTCTATCGCTCTCCTAATAATATGATTCTCACTAATTATTGCATACCAAACTTCCTCTATGATGTGTCGCATATATAATTTCATGATTCGATATCAGGTTCATCAGTTCTTTCCCAGAGCAAATAAAAGAGAAACAAAAAATCATCACTTCATATTTCAAGAGGACTATATTTGATCGGGCTAAACAAAAAAGAACAAATGTTAATGAATTTCATCCTTTATCATTTAGTCCACACACCCACACATGTATCATCAGTAATTTGGTCCACACATATACGTAAGCCTTGTGGTTGTCTGGTTCTAAATGACAACTATATATTTCCATTTTTTAATTTTATTTTATGTACTCTCTTTTTTTTTCCCCTTCATTTCTCATGTGACTTATAATGTCCTTTTCGTTACTTTGAAGATTCTTGTACCTCATATGGATCGGATTAGATTCTCACCACGCAGTTCTACATTGCTCTTTTTGTCATTGCTTCCATGGGCCTTTGAAATGGAAACATCAAACATGCCCATTACCATTAGTGGGTGCCTCTTGATTCCTTTTTTTGTTTTTGATTCTTTGTTTTTTGCCTATTTGGGTTACTTATCCTTACTTTTATTGTCACGTATATCTGTAATCTATTTGTATTGTGTATATTTGAACTGTCAGATTAATATAAAAATATGATATCATAATCAAATAGTATGTAAATTTAATGGAGTTTCATCAAAATTGTAAAATGATAAAGTGTATTTTAGTATTTTACAAATCGGTTCTCACGAGTGAGTTTTGGTCATTAATCCCTTGTAATACAACACTTTAAGGAGGGAGGATGTGGGCAAAAAAAGGGGAAAAAAAAAAGGGTAAGAGGAAATAATTGGTTGTAGTCTTGTAGATGAGTGATGCTGAGGTAAATTGGGCCCGTTCGGTTTGTTAATTCGAATTGAGACGTAATATTGTGTGAATTTTTTACTGTAATAAAAAAGTTAAATATAAATATTTCTGAGAAAACTCAAATTAGCGAAAAAAACGAAGTGAAAAAGTTACAAAGAAAAGAAACTGCTAATTTTAGAGAAAGAATTCAATAAAAGTTAGGGATCTTCTCCTATGCGCCTCCCCATTTAGACCTACCGGTAGGTCTTGTAAAAATAGAGTTTGACTCCAGTTTCATTGGGTTTGAGACTGGGGGTGCATATTATGATGTGGACCGCCTTGTAGCATAGCATTACTTGATCCCACCCTGAGAGACGGTGATTTGATTCCAACGTTGTTAATATGAAATATTTTTTTCTCGAAATTTTTGCCCTTACCTCTATTGAAGCCAAGATTCACAGGAAGGAGGAGATGGGAGATGGCGGTGAAAGAGCTGACGCCTGTGGGGAGGAGATTACATCGTCGTTGGGGGATGTTCCCCGTGAGAGGTGGATTCACTCTGCCATCGGAGGAAGGACAGGTTCGCGCCGCCGTCGAAGGGAAGACTCGTGATTTCAGCTCATGCAACTAGGAAGACGAGGACAATGTCGTTTTCCTTTGAAATTGAATTTGGGTTTGGGTTTTTGTTGCCGAGAGAAACTGAGTTGGGAAAATTTTGTAATTGCTGAAGCTTGAAATTTTTTTTTCCTACTGAACTGGAAGGGTTTCAAAGAAATTATAAGGAATATATATAAATATATGTGGATATATATATTTTTTATTATAATTAGTAGTCCAAAAATTTTGCTCATCTTCTAATTTGAGGAGAGATGAATGTTGAAGGCAGGGGTGGAAAGCTTCTCACTTGTTGCAGAGAACGGAAAAATTGGAGGAGGAGAAGGCAATTGCTGTACCGATGCGAGGAGGAAGAGAGGAGATGTTTGGTGGGAAGATTTAAATTATGCTTTAAATTATAATTTTATAGTGTTTTTTTATTATAAAAAATACACATAATTTAAAAATAATTTTAATCACAATCCATAACAGTGAGACCCACTCATTGATATATCCACGTAGGATGGGTTTTTCACTTACTCTTTGTGTGCAAGCAAATTGATTGTGCAGGAACGATATTGGCTTTTCATCACAAGATTATATTCAAACGATCAATTCAAAACAGGCCTACCCTACCGATAGTTCCAAAAAGAAGTGTACCAAAAAAATCCTTAAAAGTTGAGTGCTTCAGAAGGTATAATGTTTCTCTCTTTTTTTTTTTTTTTTTTTTTTTAGTATCACATATCATATATACGAATTTATTCATTTATATTTTTTTTTTGAGTTAGAGTGATTTAAATTTAAATATTAATTTAAATTAAAGTTTCTTTAAATATAATTTAAGTTGTGACTCTAATTTAATTTTGTATTTAGATGTGCATATTTTGAGATATGGTTTGAATTAATAATTTATTTGAGTTTATGTTTGGGTGGGTTAAAATTTAAATTTGTATTCATGTAGTATTTTAATAAAAACTCAATGGTGATGTAAAATTTTAATATGGTATATAGGTGAAATTTTATTCGTCTCTTCGTTGTGAACGCATAGAAAAAAATCATCCCAATCGGAATTAAAACGAAAAAGTTATGACGGGCTTGTTCGGTTACATTTTTGAGTTATGATGACTTGAGTGTAAATCTTGAGTTGAATTTGAGTATAAGAGTTGAAGTTGTAACTTGAGTTTGTGTTTGAATGTGCACATTTGAGTTATAGTTTGAATTGAGAATCTATTTGACTTTGTATTTGAGTGGGTCAAAACTTGAATTTGTATTTAGATAGTATTTTAATAAAAACTCAATGGTGATGAAAAATTTTAATAGTGTATATGGATGATGTTTTATTCGTCTCTTCGTTGTGAACGCATAGAAAAAAAATTATCTCAGTTTGAATTAAAATGAAAAAGTTATGGTATTTTTAATAATAGAAAATATATTGTTCATTAACTTGACTTTGAATATAAAAACTTGAGTTGAAGAGAAAACTTGAACTCAGATTAACTCAAGTTTGAACTTAAGTTGTTAAAACTCGAGTTTAAACTCAAGTTCAAACTCAAATTTTACAAAAGAATATGAACTTGAATAAAGTTGTAACTTGAGTTCAAATTTTTTTTGAGTTTTGATCCAAAAGAACAAGCCCGACGTTTTTAAAAATAGAAAAAATATTGTTCATTAACTTGAGTTTGAGTTTAGAAACTTGTGTTGAAGAGGGAACTTGAACTCAAATTTTAGCCTCAAACTCAAGTTAAAACTCAAATTTTACAAAAGAATATGAATTTGAATAAAGTTGTAATTTAAGTTTAATTTTTTTTTAAGTTTAGGTGTAAATGAATAAGCCCTATATGTTATTTGATCAAACTGAAGATGTTAATTTGGTCTCACATTCAACCAACTCATCATTTAGACCTCTTGATGGCCCACAATATTTTAATTTTGCTATACCAAGCTCAAGGACATGAAAAAGAAGCAAAAACAAAAACAAAAAGAATTAAAACCATGAGAAATGGTGTGATAAGGATACCAAAAAGAATAAGAATGTAGTATTAGATTAAGACCTATTTGGTTCATGCGTTTAAACTAATTATTCTTGATTCTGTTTTTCAAAATTTAAATTTTTTGTGAAGAAAAACACTGTAGATGAATAAAAATAATTGGTTTGAATGCATGAAACAATAGTATATTTGACGTTTGAAAAATGATATTTATGTCCCAAATCTATGATTTTTTTAAAAGGAAAAATTGCATTTCATTAAAATACTAATAAACAGTCGTCTTGGTACAATGCTAACCCATCAGAGGGGCATATGCACGCTTGAGGCCCGAAATCAGAAAAATACCTTGGCTCACTAACAATGAGCGAACTGAAAGCTTGATTAGAGAAAACCTCCTCTCTTTAACATAAGCTATTGAGTGTTGGAGGAGCAGATCATCAAAACCCACATAAAGGGGACATCTACACGGCATAGAAAAATTCTAACCGGACCAATACCACCATATCGGCATTAAGCCAAACACCTAAATCTAATAAAAAAATAACAAACTAGATGAGGGTCAAGTGGGGAAACAACTAACCTTATTACAAACACAAAAATTACAAAAAGATAAAACCTCCGATCACCGCTAGTAGAAACCTCCAATGAAGGGGGTGTCAGGCTAAAGGACCATCGAGGAAGATAGCCAGTGAAGATATCTCAACCACTAAGCAGACAACTCCCCTAAGAAAGGAGATCGTCCATTCGGCTTTTAAGCTCTTAACCGATTCAGATCTGTCTAAACGGGGTCACCACACCATACACCACCACCACCAATGAGAAGCCCATGACGAGATGAGTCGAAGGACCAAATTTCATGGCCGGCAGTGCCGGAGCTCCGCCAACCTCTGCTCTCCAAGGACCTTCTCACTCTCTCTATCTACTTACTCACTTACAATGTGTTTGGTAGGGTGGAAAAGAGAGAGGAAAGAAAATAGATGAATGATTTTGTAGAGGAAAATGAAATTTTTGGTTGTTTGATAGAGAGGAAATGAGGAAGGAAGGAAAATGAAAATCCACGAGGCTCACTAATTTTTAATCCTTCCAACTTTAGAAAGAAAAGAGGAGGAAAAAAGTTTAACAAAAAAATGAGATGTAAAATAACAATTTTAACATTCACCATTCATCGTATTTTTATTTGTATTAGAGTATTATTGTAAAATGTCTTAAATTTAACATTTTATTTTAATTTTTTTTTCTTTAACCAAACAACATGAGAAAAAATCATTTTACTTCTTTCACCTAAGTATTTTACTTCTCTTTTCTTCCTCTTTTCTATCAATCCTACCAAACATAACATTAATATGACTTACTATAAATCATTAGTTTTAACTCATGGGAATGAATAGAATAGGGGTGCTCTTCACATAGTGATAAGTAAACGCTCTGTCAAGGAATAAGTAATGAGCGGTGTCCATGAAAACATTCCTACCCAAAAAAAGAAAAAAGAAAAAATACAAGATCAATGTGGAACCCATTTGGACATTTCAAATCTAATTTAAACAGGCCATGCCCATGAATTCCCTCTTCAACCACTACAACAAAAAATAATACTAATAAATAATTAAAGAAAAAAAAAAAAACTTCACGCCGACACCACTTCTGCAACAACTCCTTTTTTTTGGTTGTTGTTGTTGGTGTTGCCCTTTTTCTCATCCGACGCCGAGAAAGATTTTCCTTCCCAAAATCTAGCCATCCAAACAGCCCAAAAATCTCAGCTCAATGAAAAGAAATCACCTTCCTCACTACTCCGATCACAAATGGCCATCGCCTCTTCTCCTGCTCGTCGCTTCCGCTCTCTTTCTGCTTCTGATCTTCACCCTCACCCTCGGCCACGGAAGATACTCCGATTCCTCCAGCGCCGGCGACTTTTACACCGCCGAACTTGATCTCCGCGGCGACGGAAACGCTCGCCTCGGCCTCCCGAAGCTCCCGCGGCTGGCGTACATGGTGTCGGGTTCGAGAGGGGACGGCTCGCGCTTGAGGCGGATTCTTCAGGCTGTTTACCATCCGAGGAATTACTATCTCCTCCATCTCGATCTGGAAGCTTCCGACGACGAGAGGCTGGAGCTGGCGAAGTTCTTGAAGTCGGAGGAGAGCGTGATCGGAGAGTTTGGGAATGTGATGGTGGTCGGGAAGGCCAATCTCGTGACTCCCAAGGGTCCGACGATGATCGCTTCTACGCTCCATGCGGTTGCGATTTTGCTGAAGAAGGCCTCCGATTGGGATTGGTTCATCAATCTCAGTGCCTCCGATTACCCTCTCATGCCTCAAGATGGTGATTTCTCTGCTCTTTATGGTCCTTGCCACCTTATGATTTTGTTGATTTGCTTTGCTTTTCTAGTCTCTGATATAATAGAGAATTTAGTGTTGGATTCTGTGCTATTCTGTTTCGTAATTCAAATCGGATGGACTTTTTAATTTGGTTCCTTCTTATTGCCACTACTTAAAGGTGAAATCTCGATCACAATTTATGAGCATTTCTAGATTGGTAATATTGAATAATGACGTACATTGTCGATTTATGTTGTGTTTTTCTCTACAAGGTTTGACTCTGCATTGACCGATAAAGTATCATAAAGTTGACTCTTTTTTTGATAGTTCAACGGATTTTATTTGTTTAGGGAAACTACGTCCTTGATGCCTTGGTTCAAGTTTTTAGCTTCTAGAGGATTTGGGACTCTGTGTTGTTCTGTTATATAGTTCAAATGGGTTATTGAATAATACATTCCACATTTGTTAAGTTGTTTTTTTCTTACACATTGGAGGAATTTAGCTGTTTTTAATGTTTGATCACTTTTTATGAGCATTTCTAGTTGATATTGATTTTGGTTTACTGAATGATGATGTACATTGTTGATTTGCATTGTGTTGCTATTAGCAGGGGTAGACTTTTTGTTGACTGTAGGGTATTATAGTGTTGACTCTGCGCTGTACTGTTTCATTTCGAAGTTAAAAACGGGTACTATTGGTTTAGGAGAACTTCAGACTTGATGGCGTTTGGTTTAGGTTTTTAGCTTCTAGATATGGGCCTAATTGCTTTTTCTAGTATATGGTGTTGGGATCTGTGTTGTTCTGTTTTGTAGTTCTTATGGTACTGATGAATAATCCATTCTGCTTTTGTTAATATTTTTTCTTAAGCATCAGAGAGATTTTTGTGCTACTTAAAAATAAAATCATGATCATAGGTTATGAGCATTTCTAACTGATATTGTTGTTCATAATACTGAATAACGGTGTACATTGTCGATTTACATTTGTTGTTCCTTAGAAGATGTGACTCTTGATTGTACTGTTTCATAAAAACAAATGGTTGGTTTAGAAAAGCTTCCGACTTAATGTCACTGAGTTCATGTTTTAGTGTTTAAAGGATGTGGACCTAAACACTTTTGGTTTTGGTTTGTTAATCTTGTCAAATTTGTAAACCTAAGGCTAGTAGCCGATATTTTGTCTGTTAACTGTTATTACACCTTGGAGAGATTTGTTATTGTTGATGGTGTTCTTCATCCTATAGATGGTGTGCTTATCTACAGATTTGAATTTGAGTATACATGTTCTGTTTTAGAGGTTGTATTGTTATCGCCAACAAGTGTGCTCAAATTAGTAGATTTCAGACTTTGTACTTATCCAAAATGGATATAGAATTTCTTAGCTTGTTCTGAAGGATACAAACTGGAATATGAAACTCTCATTTTTGACTGAGCTGTACTTTTGAATGCAGAACATTAATTTTCATAAGTTTTGGCATTTTGAATCTCTTGACAAGGATATCCATTAAGATTGCCAGAACCCTCTTCAACTTTTATTTCTTTGGAGACCATAATTTTAATAACTCGCTGATTAGATTTTTTCTAGTCTGCCAGATATCTTGCATATTTTCTCATACTTGCCAAGGGACTTGAACTTCCTCGAGCACACAAGTAATATCGGCTGGGAAGAGGGAGCAAAAATCCGTTTTTGTGGAAGTTTTCTTCTAATGGCATTTAGATCTAGTAGTAGTAAACCCTTTATATTCTAACCAATTTGTCACTCTTGTTTCATCTTCCCAGGAATCAAAGAGCACGACCTATTATTATAGATTCTGGCTTGTACCACTCAAAGAAATCTGGAGTATTTTGGGCCAAAGAGAGAAGGTCTACGCCCGCTTCTTTCAAGTTATTCATGGGTACTACCTCTGACTTTACTGCCTCTTCAATTTTTATTCCAAAATTCCCATCCAAACCTTTTGCACGGTTTGGCTTAAATTTAAGGAATCAGCAGTTGTGTAGAATAAGAAAAATATCAGTAAAAATCTTTGCATATGGTTTTTCTTGTATTTCCTTTCTTGCTTTTTTTGGTTTTTATGCAGCTTTCTCCTACTGATCTCTCTCTCTCTCTCTCTCTCTCTCTCTCTATATATATATATATATATATATATATATTTATATATATATATATATTTCGTTGCATACCATTAGATCGGAATCCTACTTGTGAAAATTTTAAAGTGGGGTGTTACATTAGTTATTGCTACCACAACTATTCTGCCCGGCTATGTCTAGAACATAAGAGTTTATGTTGATGCGGGCAGATGATAGTTGATCATCGATTTAAATGTGGAATTCTGTATTAGTTAAGATGCTCCATATACAGTTGATGGTTACAGTGTACATCACAGACCTAAAAAATCATTTTCTTACAGGATCCTCATGGGTGATGCTGTCAAAACCATTCCTTGAATTCTGTGTTTGGGGATGGGATAACCTTCCCCGCACTCTCCTCATGTACTACACGAACTTTCTGTCGTCCACCGAAGGATACTTCCACACAGTCGCGTGCAACCACAGGGATTACCAGAACACGACCGTTAATCATGACTTGCGTTACATAAGGTGGGATAATCCTCCAAAGCAACATCCAATTTCTCTAACGTTGGAGCATTTCAACGACATGGTCCTAAGCGGCACTCCTTTCGCTCACACTTTTGCCAAGGATGATCCGGTTCTTGATAAAATAGACAAGGAGCTTTTGAGGAGACCAAGACACCATTTTACTCCAGGAGGTTGGTGCGTAGGGAAGCCTGGTTCGCATAAAGACCCGTGTTTGCTTCATGGGAATCCGAATCTCGTCAAACCAACTCTAAACTCAAAGAGGCTGGAGAAACTCATTGTGAAGCTTCTTGATAATGAAAATTTCAGGGTTAAGCAGTGTAAATAGTCTTTTTCTATAATTTTTTTTCTCCCTTTCCTCATTTCCAAATTGATTTAATTCATTCATTTTGTAAAATTTTCATCCCGCAGTATGAGTTACAGCTTCACATTCTAAATTGTGGAAAGAATTCTGTAGCATATGAGGGGGAAAAAAAGAGAAAAAGAAAAATTTTCCCTTAACAATTGTTTTTCTGATTTTGAATAGGACATTTTGACATCTGCAAAAGTCTAAAATGTTGTATTGTTGTTGAACAGTAAATGTACGTAGTAGGTTTCAGGTTATGTAAATGACGTACAAGCATATGTTGGAGGTAATTAGCATCTGATATATATATATATATATCGTTGAAAAGAATTCACTAGCTGCCTATAAGAGGAGATTACTCCAACTAAATTAGAAGATGTTATTATAAATAGGGATACAATTATTTTGGCACCTTCTTGTTATAGTGAAAAATATGCTATTGGTAACATGTGTTTTTAATAATATTAAAATAATATTTTAACGTTTTTAAAAATATCTTTTTATACCCTGAAGCTTATTTTTAAAACATGTAATGTTTAAACTACTATTCTTATTATTTAAATAGAAATCAATATATATTTTAAAAAAATTGAAAATATTTTAAAACATTAAAATATTTAAAGAAAACAACAACATAAAAAAGTTCATCATTTTTTTTCCTAGATTGATTAATTTTTGGTTAATTAAATAGAAAGGTACTAAGGTTATTTTACATTTCAAAAATCAGTTTCAGAGTACTAAAAAGATATTTTTAAAAACTTTGAGATACCATTTTAATATTATTGAAAACACAAGATACTAATAGTATGTTTCGCTATAATACAGAGCACCAAAATGCTTTTATCCCTTATAAATATAAGCATAAGATGCAATAACAAATTCTATAAGAGGATGAGATTACTCCAACTAAATTAGTCTATTATCTGTAATAAGAGTATAAATAGCCAAAAAAATAGATAGTTTTATTAGCTTCTATATACAAATGGCATAATTTAGCTCTTGAAAAAAGATAATAAGCTAGATGTATCTAACAATAACACTCCAAACTAATTAAAAAAGAAAAGAAAAATTCTTCACAGTATGATTGCCAATGCATCAATCTAATACAGTTTACTGTGATCTGTGAAGGTTAATGGTTGAAATTAGATGGGGCGGTGTCACCACTAAAGTCTTGATATTGCCAATTTTGGGAGATGATGTCTAGCGAAACTCATACAATGATCCCTTCACCAACCCTTTGTAATTTTCAAGGGAGAAGTTGTTAAAAAATAAAAAAAAATAAAAAATAAAATTATGAGGTATGTTTATGTAATTAACCCTTTGAAATTAATCTTAAATTTATGCCTTTAAGAAGTATATTGCCATCAAGTGGAACCCGATCAATTAACAAAAGTTTATGGCGCATAAGGGTGCATTTATGGTAAAAGAGAGTATTTTGCTCTACTATTAGAGGATTTTTAGTTTTAACTGTTATATTAGTTTTTTTAATAATCTGATATGTAGAAAGAACAGTTATAGTGTAAATTTTTAAATGTGAACATGTAGATCATTAAAAGGGTAATTCAACTGCGGTTAAAAATAATAGTTCCCAACAATAGAGTAAAATATCCTTGTCTATCATAAAAATTCTAAAAAAAATTAAAATAAAAAAGTACAGGACAATACATTTAAAAAAGTTGAAGTCAAGTGGCATTCTGGTAATTGACCAAAGTTTAGGGCAGCTCATTCAAAACAAAAAAGTTCCCGGTATCAATATTCAAAAAAAAAAAAAAAAAAAAAAAGTTGAAGGAGAATTTGGTGAAATAAAAATAAGAAGTCCGCAAAAGGGTGCATTTTGGTGCCATTTTCGCAGATTCCTATTCAGTATTTTGTAATCGCGGCTAGCGGGAAGCTCAGAAACTCCTTAACCTTGTTCTGGAACCACATCGATCTGATCTTCAGGTAAACTCTTTTTGTTTTCCTCCTCCAAATTTCTTCTTATGGATTTGCATTCTGTTATATCTTAACTTTGTACCCAAAGTCTGCCTTTTATTATTATTATTATTATTTAATTTTTGTGAATGGGATTGAGATATGGAGTTCTGTTTAGGTTCCGCTACAGTGAATCATCGTCTTTCGTTTTATGGTTAATTTCCCCCTCTTTTTTTTTTTTTGTTTTTGTTTTTTAAGAAGGTGGTTTAGAATTTAGATTTAATGGCTCTTATGAACCTAATTAATCTGGTTTTTGAGGTAAAGAATTAAATAATCACATTGCTATTTCAAAGACATTAATTAGTCTGTCCTTGTAAGTTGTATTGATAATTCATCTTCTGTTTCTGAGAGTTAGTCCAAAAGTCCAAAAATCCCAAAACCCCTCCTTCTTTTTGAGGTTATTTTTTTTTTTTGATAAATCTGGAGAGTGAGTTCTTTGTTTACATGTTGATTTATAGTATCCTGATTCATATGAAAAGTGAAAGCCAGGTTATTTTCATGTTCTGCCAATCAATCTTCAGTTGGGAATCATGATGTTAGAGATGAGAAATTGTAGTAAATAACCCCTTTTTTGTGGCAAAATTCACTGCTAATGAAGAAAATAGCCGAATTTACTCAGAAAATGTGAGGTTTACTAATTATTTTTGTCAGTAAATATGAGATACACTCAATGAATATGATATCTACTAAATCGGTATTTTTTCTACAGCATGAAAAAGTCAGTCATTTTTCTAATTCACCCTAAAAATCTGCAATTTCCCGAAATCATTCAAACATTTCATTACTGGTTTTAATAAATTAATTTTCGGAGTTTGAGGGAAGGCTCTAGTTTCAAACTCTGGCTCACAAAGTGAGTTCGGGGCATTTTGGATATAAAAAAAAAAAAAAAAAAAATTTTTTTCTGATAGCTGAGAAGTATTGGCTCCATAAAGTATTCATTTTGCTTTGTTGTCTCATCATCATTGTTATTTTTGTGGTTTCTGCTTTCTATGATACAAGTCGCAGACATCCTTTGCTAGTAAAAATACTACTTGGGAACTTGAAGATCACTGCAAAGGATAGCAATTGGAGCATTATGGGCGAAGAGTACTTGAAAGAGAGTTTCAATGGACTTGGTGAGAAGCATTCTACTGCAGAGAGTTCTTTGACTCTTCTTTTTGACTCTGGTAACCTTTCAACTGCTTGTGAGAATGAGAAGACACCGAAACACAAGGCTTCTCGCGATAATGCTGACTCTGCGGTTGTTGAAAGGTGGGATAAAATTGCTAATGTATCATCCTCTTCATTTGGAATTGATAATCTAACTCTTTAGTTATCTTCTCTCTAAACTTCTATTTGAAGTAGTAATGCAGCAAAGAAGAAAAGGGCTTCGAGGATAAATGGTGGAGGACTTCGGCAATTCAGCGTTATGGGTCAGTAAGTAGTGCTTGTATAGAAAATATCTGCTTTGTTTTCTTATCGGCAGTCTATTGGATTAATATGGTAAACAATTCCATTTATGCATTGTTTTCTTGTGTAACATTCGATTTATGGATTGTTTTCTTGTGTAACATTCGATTTATGGATTGTTTTCTTGTGTAACATTTGATTTTTTTTTTTTTTTTAAATTATTTTCAGTTTGTAAGAAGCTGGAGAGTAAAGGAAGAACGACATACAGTGAGGTATTCTTAATGTTTGTTTTGGCGAAGAGGCATTCAAAAGGAAAATATTTTGTAGTTTGTTTTTATTTCTTTGATCATGTAATGCTAATGTCTGTTCACAAATGTCTAAGTCATTTCATTCGTGAGGTCCAGGTCGCAGATGAAATTATTTCAGAGTTGAATGGAATGCGTAATGACACCACAGTTTCTCTAGATGAGGTATGGTTTAGCCCAATATTTTAACATCTGGTTCAAATTTACTTTTGATGGTAGTTTCTTAATTGAATAATTTGAATAATTGAATAATTTGAATTAGCAGTTTGATGAAAAGAACATACGTCGGCGGGTATATGATGCACTAAATGTCCTTATGGCATTGGAAATCATCACTAGAGACAAAAAGGAAATCCAGTGGAAGGGGCTTCCAAGTACAGATATTAAGGAACTGGAAGAGCTTAAGGTAGTGAATTTCTTCACATTTCGTTATGAAATGACCAACAATACATCTTGTTCTCTCTCATTTTGTAATTTAAGATATATAAACCAGATTAGGCTGATTTTATTTTTGATCCTGCAGGCAGTACGTGTGAAACTGGTGAATATGATTAGAAAGAAAGCTGCTTACTTGAATGATTTAGAAGAGCAAGTAATGCTATTTCTCATCTTCCTCTTTAGGAATAACGCCATTTTTCATCTTTTTATATTTTAAAACTTCGTTACAATATATGCTCAAATTATCCATATTTAGCATTGAACAACCTAACTCCATATCAGTAAAGTGCACGCTTTTTAATTAGCAAAGGACGTACTGACATCCGACGCAACGCATGTCAAATTCGAGTTCTGTTCTAATAGTCCTTTCTCTAGTAATAATTCCTTCGTGCAGATTCTCCCTTCATTCTCCTTCTCCCTTCTTTCTCCTTTTCCTTCTTTCTCATTCTTCTTCTTCTTCTTATTATCCTTCTTCTCCTTCTCCTTCTCCTTCTTCTCCTTCTCCTTCTCCTCCTTCTCCTTCTTCTCCTTCCTCTCCTTCTCCTTCTTCTTCTTCTTTTTCCGCTTCTTCTTCTTCTGCTTTTTCTTCTCCTTCTCCTTCTTCTTCTGCTTCTCCTTCTTCTTGTGCTTTTTCTTGTGCTTCTCCTTCTTCTTCTCTTTCTTCTTCTCCTTCTTCTTCATCTTCTTCTTCTTCTCCTCCTTCTGATAGGACGATCTGCGAACTGGTCTGTGTGACAATCTGTGATTAGATCTGAGTGGGCAACAACTCAAGAAGCTGAATTCGTGTCTGTGTTCATCAGCGGAGGGGGAAAACAACGATCCAATGACTGACCCAGAAGATTTACGTGGAGTTTGGATGGAATCAAGCACTGTCAGCGATGAGATTCACGATTCCGGTGTACTTGGGGATAGTCCTGACGCCATGAAGGCTGAGATTTGCAATTCCGACGCGATTAAGATCAATTCTGGCGATTTGGGGGCTGGGTCTCTCGATGGGAGGGTTGGGACTTGGAATCCAAGTGTCACGAGGGATGATTTCGGAGCAATTAGGATTGGGTCTTGGAATTCTAGCGTGACTGGGGCTGGGTCAGGGATTTGCGGCGTGAGTTCCAGCAAGATTTGGGCTGGCTTCCGAAATACCGGCCGGATTTGGACTGGGTGCTGTGATTCTGGCGCGATTGGGGCTGATTTCCGCTCAATTGGGCCTGGGCTTCGTGATTATGGTGCGATTAGGGCATAGTCCGGCAAGCCAAGGGCTAGGTTTCTCAAATCCGGCGTGATTTGGGTTGGTTTTGATGCTGTTAAAGTTGGGCTGCCCACTTCCAACGCGATTAAGGACAATTCTAGTGACATTTGGACTGGGTCTTCTTATTTCGGTCCGATTGGGGTTGGATCTACAAAAAGTGGGGTGGTAGAAGGGGGGTTGAAAGGAATTGGCGTGATAGGAATTGGAATTGGAAATTTCACAAAGGGCAGACTTGGAATTGCTGCTACCTTTGACGTTCCAAGGTTCACGTGCATTGAAATGGGAAGAAGATGACATCATTCAAGTGCAATTACCTAATCAACACCTTGAGGACAAGGTGTTTTTTGCCGGGGGAGTAATGATAGGACTCGTTAATGATGATCTTGAGTAGTTAGTTTAATAGTAAAAGTTATTATAGTGTAGTAATAGCTGTTAGCAGTTAGTTTGTTAGATGAGTATTAGTATTACTAGCTGCCAGCAGTTTATTAGAGGAGTATTAGTAATATAAAAAGAGGTACTAGCATTTGGGGGGGGGGCTAGCAGATCTCTCGAAAGTCTGTAAATCTATCTTGTAATCGAGTCTAGTTCTTATTTTCAATAATAATCTTTTCTTGGTTCTTATCACCTTATTCTCCTCCTTCTCCTTCTTCTTCTTCTTCTTCTTCTAGCTTGCAGGGAGAGGGTGCCTACTAGGGGTGGCAATTCGTGTCACGTGTCGTGTTTTGATCGTTTCTTTTTAAATTTACAGTCAACCCGAACACGACCCGTGACACGAAATTTTTTAAAAATCGCAACACGAACACGACACGACCACTTTACGAGTGAGAAGAACTGACTGGGAGAAAGCAATTTCCAAAGTGACTTCACACAACACCGAGGAGAGCAAAGGATGCGAAGCCGTGTTTTTCTTCTTACGAGTTAACACGACACGACCCGAAAATGACCCGTGACACGAAATTGACCCGTGAACCCGAAATTGACACGAAAATTGTATACTTTTATTTAGTTTTTTACATATTAAAAATAACGTAAAATTCATAAGACACTAAATTACAATAACATCCATTAAAATTAAGCAAATAATAGTATAAGATTTTGAGTATAGCTATCATGATATCACAAGTTCATAATAAAATTTAAAATATGAAATGAAAAATATATGTATTTTTAGTTTTTTACGAGTTTCGTGTTGTGTTCGGGTTAGGCGGGTCCAACCCGAAATTGACCCGTGTTTTTCGTGTCAATTTCAGATCGACCCAATTCTGACCCGAACATCTTTTTTCTCAACCCTAACCCGCAAAATTCGTGTCGTCGTGTCGTGACCCATATTGTCGGCCCTAGTGCCTACGTGGTTATAAACCCACATGCTAAGCTCATACTTTAACAATGTGGGACTCAACCAGGATCTTAACATACCACCACGCTTCAGACACTGACATCCACGGCGGCCCACTTTGGCCTTTCCAGGTCGCCCCTCCCCAGGTCACCCCTTCCGCAACGTGGGCCTGAGGTGGGGCATGCTCTTATACCAATTTGATAAGAACCAAACTTGAATTGAGGAATTGAATGGAAAAGCAAAATTATATTGATGAAGTAATTGAAAGAGATTACAAGATAGATTGGCAAACGTTTGAGAGGTCTGCTAGCTCTCTCAAGGGTTTTTCCAATTTACTCTGATCCATCCTTCCGTTTAGTCTCTTTCTATTCCTTATATATTACTACTAACTAGCTTAACAAACATAACAAATCAACCCTAATAACAGACCACTAACCACTTATTATATTGATTACTAATTACTAATATAATCCTATCATTCTTCTTCTTCTTCTTCTCCTTCTTCTTTTTCTTCTTCTTCTCCTCCTTCTCCTTCTTCTCTTTCTCCTCCTTCTCCTTCTTCTCCTTCTCCTCCTTCTCCTCCTCCTCCTCCCTTTAATCTTTTGATTTTTTCTCTTAATAGTCTGAAATTGATTTTTTTCTCTTAAGTCTGAAATTGTAAATTCTAGCTTTTTCCATAGCCATTTTACTCCTTTGAGCACGCAGAATTCTAGCTTTTTCCATGGCCATTTTACGCCTTTGAGCGCGCATTGAGCCTTTGATTATGTCTCGAAGAAAATCTGATTATTGTGAAAAACGTATAAAGCAATGTCGTCTCTTTCATCATTATTATTAGTTTGGACACAATGAACCCGCGAATGTCATGAAAGATTATCATATTAAGGCTTTTCTGCCCATCTTTAGGTGTTTGTGACATCACATGATTATTTATACGCTTAGAAAGGAGCCAAGTAGAATGTGCCTGTGCAGGAAAAAAATGACTCAGGGAAGTTTAAATCACAAGATTACCCTTGAAAATATTGTTGCATTTATGTGATTTCATCATACACTTTTACCGGTTTTTGTGGATATATACTTTGCGAAATGCATGGATTGCCCCAGGGAAAAGGGGATTAGTTCTGTGGTTCTGCATCTAGAAAAAAAAAAAAGAAAAAAAGGAAAAACAAAAGATAAATTGGCAGGACATAGATAGTATATAGAAGTTGTTTGGTTACTATGATTTTCTTTGCTAATAGCTTGTAGTTTATTGTTGAATGCAGTGCTTAAGTTGGCTACGTTTTAATGCACTCTATTTTTTGGAAAAACTTGTGAAGATTGCAGGTCTCCAATGTTTGATATCACGAAATAAGCAGCTGCTCAATTGTGGAAACTCTCCTGTGGAAGGATTTTCTTTGCCATTTTTACTGGTTCAAGTAAGTGACCTTTCATCGTCTTTTGTTGATTGTATCACATGTTTTTTAATTATTACATACGTTGAAATACATTGTCATTTAGTTTTGCATTTGAGTGATGCTGTGTGTTGGGGTCAACGGGACACATGACTCACTCACAAGGTTGTAACAGGCCGTTATTAGAGAGTCATGTATTTTTTGTTTGCACCCATGGAGCATATTTGCCGGAAAAGAGAAGTTTTTTAGTGCAGTATGAAAGCATTACTTGGATCGGCAAACATTTATTGCTTAAATTCAATTTATGACACTTTCTGCCAATGTGAGATTTTTTCATCATAAAATAAATACACAAAACAATAGTTTTTGGATAGATAGATTAAAAGCAAATTGAGTATCTTATCCCATTCTGCAAGTCCAAAGCTAACTTGTAAAAGTTTTTCCCCCTTTGGAATTTATATAGCAAAATTAAGGATGTTTTTGTACGAGGCTGATGAAAATCTAGTGTCAAATTTCTTGAAAGAACTTGGAACAAACGAAAGATCCATCATATTTCAGTGACCCCACGTAACTTTGGTTGCGATATTTTCTCCAGACAAGCTCCCATGCCACAGTTGAGATTGAGATTTCTGAAGACATGCAGTTGGTGCACTTCGACTTTAATAGGTACAATACAAGTACTTTGCCTTACTCTTAACAAACATTAAAATGTAAGTCTACTAACACAACTAGTCTCCCAATGTTGTCCTTGGCAATGGCAGCACACCCTTCTCCTTGCATGATGATGCTTACATTCTGAAGTTACTGAGGCGCCACCAGCTGCCGGTAATTAGACCCGTATCCCGAAGCTCTTCTTCGGCTCTCTCGTCTTCAAGCTCCGGTATTGTCTCTAGAGCTACCAAGCCCTTCTCTTGGAACTCTGAAAAACATGCTCAGAGATGAAGACATACAGTGATGTAGGAGCAGATTTTTGGCATCCATACATGTATAGATATTTCCATGCCGTGGTAATGTGTTAGAACACATTTATATCTCCACTATAAAAACATTGTTTACAACTTTGTTGTGGAGTAATACTACTTTTTGTAGGTTGATGCGGGAGCGGCACTCTTGATCTTTTTGTAATGCCCTGTATCTGTAAACTATATATGGGAATAGCAACTTGAAAATTTTAGCTTAATTTTTTTAGTGTCCTTTCATATGAGATTGTGGGGAGGGTAATTTATGGCTCGTTTGATACCCATGGTTGTTTCGCAAGAGAGACGAGAGGGATTGGATTGGGAGAGTGATTCAAATCTTTTAAGGAACCTTAGAACTTGTTCATTTTATAACTCCAGTCATAATTGTAAGTATTTTTTCTCACAAAAATTAAAATTCAACTTTTTTATTACAATATTTTTCTATCTCATACACAATTCAAGTCATGACTTGAGTTGTACAAATGAACATACTCTCTATTTTTCTCACCCTGGTTAGATGCTATTTCTTACTAGTTTCTTTTTTTTTTTTTTTTTCTTTTTAACAAATATTTCTTACTATTTTATTTCCTCTTCAGTCGAGGTGAGATTTAGATGATATTAGATTTTAGAATAGAAAAATTATTTTTAAGCGAGATTGTATTTAACTACATAAAAGATTCAAACACCGATAAGAATAACCCCATACCAAGCGAGATAAAACCCTCAACTAAGACAGGATCCATCAGTAAAATTTGATGAACTTCAAGGAAGACATAAATTGAGACTTGATAACAGGAAAATTCCTCGGTACACCAATAATCAAACATACATAAAGCTCATTTTGCCAAAACCTCTATAATTTATTGAGAGCAAGTAACATGTAACACTAAGGCCACAACATACTGACACAATTCCGTGGAATATATAGTTACATCGTGTTGGGGTGTAATTCATAGCATCGATGTTGGAATATGGTCTTGTTTGGAATTGATCCCATTTTTATTTTTTACGTTTTTCGAGAAAAAATGAAAATGTTTCTAAAACGGCGTTTGGCGCAATAAAGACAAAAAATGGAAATGAAAACCATTTTTTAGTTTAGTGTAAAATGAGAGAGAAATGAAAAATAATTTTTAATCGTTTTTCAATTTTTTGTTTTCGTTTTCTCCTCTCTCAAGCATAGAGAGAAAGAGAGATATTAATGAGTTTTTTTACACTGAAAACAATATCTTGATAAAACTACTAAATGCATTTTCAAAAATAATTTCTGTCTGAAATTGAAAATGTTTTTATTTTCATTTTGATACAAAATATAAAATTATTTTGGAACGAGTTCCAAACGCGCCCTTTGTATCATACATTCACTATTATGTTCGCAGCCTCTCATTGTGTGATTACTTCTGCAACTTATTTTTTTTTTCCCTCCCCATTTTAGCATGTTCAATGTGGCTTCCACAGAATGTTTTACACTTTTTTGTGGCCTTGTGTTCCACCGTTCTACGTTCATAATTGTATTGCTCCTCAGTCCTTACGCATACTCATTTCCGATTTTGCTACTGTGTCCGTCTACTTTGCATATCTAATTATCTTTGCTTTTATAATTTTCATAAAACATTTTATCTCCATGCACCAATATCCGGGCATTATTTTTCTCAACACATCAGAAATCCGTTTAATGGAATAGCCATTCTGTTTTCTATGAATACTTGATTGTAAGTGTTTTTGCTCAAACAAACATTATTACTATGTTATAACTTATAAGAACTGTAATTCCGTTACAATTTCATTGAACCAAATGTGACTAAGTGTATTGGAGATAGTTTTTCGTTCGGCGATGATCGTCGAGGACGCAAGGGCGCATGAAAGGGACGACAATCATTGCAGTAGTGACTAGGAGTTACCACTCGTCGGACCTAAAAAACTCTGATACCATATCATATCATGCCTAGAGAGAATCATACAAACTCAAGCTTTACATGAAAAGGAAAGAATAGTAAAGACTATATATATAAATCTCCTAAGATCATTAATAGATCAATTAAATACAATCCATTTAAAGTAATTTCCCTATCAGTTTAAGTTTTGTTCTTTTTGGGTGTAGCTCTTTTTGGCTTACACCACTTGCCTATCCTATAATGCTAACAACTAGGTTGTTTATGTATCCTTCGTGCAGATTACGTTAAGGAATCTATCCTTTTATGTAGCTTTTCTTAACAATATGAATAACAAATTAATTAAGACAGAAGAAAAAGTTCATTTGTAGTTTTGCGTTGGATTTGACAGCATCAACCATGGAATGTGGCCCAGAAAAAATGATCCTTTTTTGTGGACATGGAGAATTTTCAAACAGTGCGTTAGTTGTGCGTGACGTTAAATTTTGTGAAAGCAGAAAGGCAAAGGAGAGCCAAATTTCACCTCTTAATTGCCCATCACTTGTGATAATCAACGCCTGATTGATTGTTTTTGGTGTCCACGTTACATCGCATTTGCTCTCACTGTTTTTGCATGTATTATTTAAGAAAGAAGAGACTCCGAGACTTCTTGGAAACGTCCATAACGAGCAATCATGTCATATTAAGGCTACTTATGTCTCTTTTGGGTTAATCTCAAATCCTTTCCTAGATTTGATATTTTCTTTCACGGATATATATATAAAAATATATATATATATATATTAAATATATTTTAAATATACACGAAGGGATCGAATCCGTAACCTTCTTATAATAATAAAGTCTGATCTCATTGATCCCTAGTGCTATGAAACCAAACGGTCTCAGACCGTTTATGAATACGAAAACTCTTTTTGTTCTTAAAAATTTAGAAAAATCTCTTTGAATTTAAACTTATTAATTGAGTTCCTCCTTGAGCTTATGATCATAGGGAAAAAATGAGTAAAATATTAACACATTAATCCCCACTTAAATGTGTTGATATTTTTCCAAGATGCAGTACTACAACAATCTTTGAAATCCGAAAACAACATCAAAACTTTGACATCCACAGTTCACAATGTGGGAACACAGATTAACACGTACATGTGTATTGATGTGAATTTTCCCCAATCTTCACGCTTAGGGCAGGAATTTGCAAGAAATTAAATAAATACAAGAGTTCTTCCTAAATTCTAAAAAGAGAAAGAACTCCATAAAACAAAAAGAGAAAGGATGATTTAAATTATCAGGAGCTTTAAACTTACAACTTGACCCATTTAGTTTTGAGGAAAAGAGATAAATGTCTCTTAAAATGTATAAGTCTGTATTTTTACTTTTATTCTAAATTAATATTATTTTTAGTCAAATATCTATATTAGTTAAGAGGGTATTAATTAAGAATAAAACGTAAAAATCTAGACATATACACTTTAAAAGTAAGTTCAATAATTTTCTTTTTAATTTTTAGGCGTCGGGGGTCCTTTAAACAAATAATCAAGAAAAGTAATAAAAAAAAGTATATTAGCATGATAATAAAATAAGCACATACTTGAACATATGAATCAAAAAGAGACGAAAGAGGGCTTACAAAAAAAAAAAGGACAATATTGACAAATACTCATTGAAAGTGTGTAGTTAGAATTTTTATCTTTTATTCTTGATTCATAACTTTTTTAGTCAAATAATTACACTAATAAAATGATATTTATCAAAAATAAGGAGTAAATATCTAGACTCATACACTCTAAAAATAAATTTTATATTTTTTTTTTAAAAAAAAGGAAAGAAAAGAAAAGTTAGACGTTGGGCTTATTAGTATTTCCGAAAATGTGAGGGCTTTCTTATAAGAGACAAGTGCTAAATCAACATTGGGATGCAACAATAATAAATAAAAAATGACCGTATTGCAGTATTACTAATATCTCCTGACCTTTTTATTATTGAAGGAGATTGATTATACAGGAAAATTCTTAATGTCTTTTTCTTTTTTCCTTTTTTTTAATAAGCAATAAATCATTTTTGTATTGTTCCTTATTCTCTCAAAGGAACAGTGTCGTTCTCTGGGCCCAAATGTCAGCCAATTTGTGCTTCATTTGCCTCCCCTCCTCATAAAGAAAATGAAAAGAGATAAAATTAAAGGAATTTATGGTTGATTAAAAATGAAACAAAACATCTACATTGAGTAACCCGCATGACCCCCAAAAGCGTGTGGGACCGAGTAACCCACAGAATTCAAGGGCCCATTTTTATTTTTTTTTGTTTTTTATGTTTATGATTGCCAATTATATAAGCTGCTGATCCTTCCATGTTTTTTTTTTTTTAAATGTTCGATCTCCTTTTTCTTAAAGTAATATTGAACCAAATAGAACATAACGTTATAATTAATCATTAATGTAATAAAAAGTGTTATAACACTCTTTATAACACTTATTTAAAAACATACTTTACATTCTTAAATTTTAAGTTTCATCACAGTCAATCTATCGTGCCACGTGTCGTTTCATCTAACGATCATTAACTAGTAAATTCGACACGTATAAAAGTAAAAGTTCTATATTTTTACACCGGTAACTTTCAAAATGTCTGCATACTAGCTGTTACACCTTTTCAAGTCAATAATATATATTAAATAAAGAAATGATTACATTGAAACCCAAGGTCCCGACCCCATGACAAATTAACCGTCGCCACCTCCCCCTTCTTCAAGAACTCCGTTATTAATAGAGTTTTTTTTTTTTTTTTTTTTTTTTTCGAAGGTTAAATTTTCTGAAAATGCCTGAAATATCTAAATTTCAACCTCAAAATATATGTAAAGTAGCGTTCTTACCCTCAAATATAATTTAATGTACTTAATACATATTAATGATGATAGTGTGATTACTTTTAAAAATGTGATACATTAAGATATTTTTGTACTATTTTTAATAATATAGGAGATTATACGTTTTATATTTTATACAACAATTGGGGGAAATGTGGATATTTCAAACCTATACCAGTGATATTAAGCAAAGTTTTATGAAAACATTTTCATTCAATTCAAAGTATGTTCGTTTTACATCTAATTAGTTATTTTACCTATTTTTTATCTTTTATGTTTTTAAGTCTAACAACAATTTATTTATTTTCTTTTACCATATACTTTATTTCTCTACACTTCATATGCACTTATTAGGAGTGGATAATAGGAGTCAAGCTCATGTACTGACTTACTAATTTTTATCATAAAATTGAAGTGAAATTGGTCGGCTACATACAAATTTGTGACTTGACAATCGCATGTTCCCATTTTCTCACTGGGACTGTCATTTCTATTAGTAATATTAAATTACTATATTACTCTTAATATGCAAAATGTTACATAAAAATGCAAAAATAAAATAACCTTAACATATGTTTATTGTTTTATTTGCCTAGCAATATAACAATTATTCTAGCTATTATCAACTTCAGTACAATAAGCATTAAATTTTTTATTATAATAAAATATTTTTTTATTTTTAAATCATTACACAACTTTATGTTTATTATCTTATTGTAATATTATTATCTTAATCATTTTTTTTATGATTACCATTATTATAATGGGCACACAATTTGCCTTTTAAATTAATATCACAAAATTTACTCAAAGAGTATATCAGTAAATCTATAACAATTCATTTTAATTTGATTCTGTTAAGTAAAAACATAAATGAAATTCATAATGACTCTAATTATAAATATTATAATATAAATAAACAACTTATTCTGACTCTAAATCTTGCTTACTTCAAATCTTACTAATTCCAATTCATGCTTACACTTATTATGCAAGCTATGTAGAGATTATTATCATTAATTTGTATTTGTAGAATTATGTGCTTAAGAAACAAATAACAAATGTGTTGAGACGTGTACAAATAATTCTTTGACACAAGTTAAAAAAAATCGTGTTAATTAACAATCAATGCATTAATAAACATTTCATGTTTATTTTAAGATTCTTGTATCTTATTGATTAATTATTACATAGCTCTATGAAACTCTCAAATATAGAATAATAGATTAAGAAAAGAAACTAAACCCTTAACAACTGAACATGCTATATATAACAAATTTCAACAAAATACAGTGCTCCAACTAGTATATATATGAAAATAAGTTCAATAGGCCGTTAGGAATAAGGATGAAAATGTTGGTATCTGTAGAAATTTTGATACTCTAAATTAGAAAATATTTAGAAACTATTGATTTCGCTGAAAATATCAGGAAAAAATAATAAAATTTATAGATATTTATTAAAATAATATTTCTTTTTCATATTTTAGGATATGATGAAGGTTGTGAAAGTTACATAAATAAAAAAAATTACGTAAAAAAACGGTCATATTAAATAGAAATCTCCATATATACCTAAAAAAAGTCTTATAAGACTCAAACAGGATTGAGATTTCATTGTTATTCAAGAAATTTTATTCAAATATACAAGCATGCTGAAAATCTATTATTTAACCGATAAAGCATTGAAACCAAAAAAAAAAAAAAAAAGACTTTTATAAATTTTTCAAAAGCTTCTAATTTTTGTAGATATTTCTCCAACATTTGAAGAAATTCTATTTTTTAAAAAAAACTATAACCTCCCCGAAAGTACATTTCCCAATATTTGTTGATCTCTCCAGTAATTTTGTCATAATTCCTTTTACATCCAAAAAGATATTTTGACACCCAAAACGTTTGAAAATTTCAATAAAAATTTCGAAAATATGAGATATATTTGTTGTGTATGGTCAAGACATTGACCACTGGCAACCAGAACAAGTACTGCTGTTCCGGAGTCTCTAATTAATTAAGCCACCAAAGCACAAGAACCACCTTTTTCTTTTGCATATTCCTTCAATTTGTTTAACTAACAAAACCCCTTTTAATTAATTCCTTAGTTTATCATTCATGCATTCATTAAGTCACTATAATACACATATTATTATATTCACTACAATCAAAGACTAATGGAGAATTTCCCACAATTTTATAAATCTAATTAATTAGCACCGCATTAATTAATATTGTAACTAAAGAAGCTGGTCAGCACTGATCATGTGTCTGTCTTTGGCCAACTTTTTCCATGCAAGAGGAGAGCCACTAATCTCTCTCTCTTTTTGGTCCTCCATAGCACATCTTCCCACATAAAGAGAGAGAAGAAAGAGAGAGAGAGAGAATGATAAAGAAGCTTATAGGTTAAGAAACTGATGAGAAAAACATGGCCTTCTCAAAACCCTAAAAAGCAATAAAACAAAAAGAGGAGTCTTAGCTTAGCCAGTAGTGAGTGATCAGTGATGAGAGAGAGAGAGAGAGAAAGAAAGAGAAAGAGAGAGAAGTAGTAATAGTAGTAGTAAAAAACGACAACAAATAAATCTCTAAATTATTAGTATATAAATACTCAAAAGGCCCATCCTTTCTTTTTGCTAGCTAGCTCTTCATCCTCCACAACCCCCACCTCTCTTTCTCTTTTTCTTTCTCTCTCTCTCTCTCTGCAACTCTATTTGATGTGATTCTCTCCACTATTATCTCTTTCTTTCTCTCTCTAAAAAAAAACAACCCTTCAATATTATCTATCAAACACTTTACAAAAGAGAGAAAGACACACCAACAAATAAAAACACCACCAACAAGGAACACACACACACACAAACCATGGTTTTTTCATCTCTTCCTGCTTATCATCATCATCATCATGATCCATCCAACTGGCAACAGGTAATATAACAAAGGCTTTCCAAACTAAATTCTTCAAAAATTTTCTTTCTTTCTCAAAAAAGCTAAAACAATTTTTTTTCTTCTTCTTCTTCGTCTTTTTTATTTTCCCAAAAGCCAAATATTCCCACTACTTTAATTCACTTGTTTGTGAATTCTTTATCTGTATCTTCTTCATCACCACCTTGAATATACCAGATATTTGATTTCTACTTTTTTTTTTCCTCTATCTTTTTGTTTGTGTTTATTTTTTATTTTTATTTATTTTTTTCCTTTTAACACAGCAACCAAATCATCCAATAACTGGAATCAGTACGACTACCACCGCTGCTGCTGCTTCTGTCATTACTTCTCAACAGCTTCTTTCGCCACTGGTTCCTTCGCTGCCGCCGCCACCCTCGCAGCCTCATGGAAGCGGGGGAGCGGGCTCGATTAGGCCCGGTTCGATGGCGGATCGAGCCCGGATGGCAAACATTCCTATGCCGGAGACGGCCCTGAAATGCCCGCGGTGCGAGTCAACTAACACCAAGTTCTGCTACTTCAACAACTACAGCCTCACTCAGCCCAGACATTTCTGTAAGACCTGCCGGAGGTACTGGACCAGAGGCGGTGCTCTGCGGAATGTCCCCGTCGGCGGTGGCTGCCGGAGGAACAAGCGCAGCAAGGGAACTAGCAGTAGCAGTGGCGGTGGTGGTGGCGGCAGCTCCTCAAAGTCTTCTGCCGCAACCGCCTCTGGTTCTTCCGGTGCAATTCCGTCCAACAATTCCGGAGCAGCCTCAGCCGCCGAAATATTAGGCCTCACTCAGCAGCTCCCCGCCGCGTTACGCTTCATGGCTCCGCTGCATCACCACCCGCTCGGCAGCACTGACTTCTCGGGCGACATAGGGTTAAACTACGGGCTAAATTACGGCGCGGCGGACTTGAACTTCCACATCGGCGGCGCGTCGTCACTCTTATCAGGTGTAGGCGGTAGTGGGGTCGAGCAATGGCGGATGGCGCCGCCTCCGCCGCCTCTACAATTCCCGTTCTTGCCTGCAGGGCTGGACCCTAATTCGGGGGCGGCGACCGGGTTGTTCGAGGGCGAGATGGCTTCGGGGTTTTCGGTCCGGGGGAAGCAGCCGCCGCCGTCGAGCTCCATCACTCACCAAATGGCTGCGGTGAAAATGGAAGATACTAATAATAATCAAGGTGAGATGAACTTGTCAAGACAGTTGTTGGGAATAAATAATCATCATCAACACGATCACCATGATCATAATCAGTATTGGAGTACTGGTACTGGAAATTCTAGTAGTACTAGTGCTAATTGGACCGATCTTTCTGGTTTTAGCTCTTCTTCAAACTACGAGCAATAATCCACTGTGATCAAGATTAGTACTATTACTACTACTGCTGCTAATTAATTAATGGTGTGAAGCTTCAGTTTTTTTTTTCTTTTTTCTTAGTGTGGCTTCAAAGTTTCAAAAACAAAATTAACTTGATCATCAAAAGAAGAAAACAAGTTCTGCCCAACTAATTAATTTATACAATATATATATATATATATATATATATATTCCATAAGCATGAAGTATCTCATCTTTACAGCCAGATCTTGACCAAGAGATGATGATGAAGAAGTTTGAGGAATATTATTATTATTCGATATATATGTACTGGGCTTTGTTTCTTCTTCATGATCAACTGTAAACCCTAGGAGGAATGGTAGGCTGATCTCCTTTTCTTTTTTTTTTTCTTTTTTTAAAACAATTTTTGGGGGGTTTAATTGTTAGTTTAGGGCCTTTTTTTTCCTCTTGCTTTTATATTAGATTCAAAGTGAAATGTATGATGAATATGCTTACGACAGTGAGTTAAAGGTTTGATATGTGGTAGTACTTTTGAGTTGAGTTCGATCAGACGTGTATTAATGTTGATCATGATGAATATCAAAAGCTATATCTACCAAAGTTACTACGCTGATCAATACTGTCTTATTTTGTTACAATTTTTTTGAAGTTTTGTATTGACCAAAATCTTATATATCGATCAATTAATTAAACTTCCTTTTGTGTCGGCACTAATTGCGATTTTCAGTATATACAATATGCATATTTTCTCAAAGATTGTATGGTTCTAAGATCAATGTATTGATAGGTTCATAGATCAAGACTGATCCATTTTGATTTAGTGTTTGTCTAATCATGATTGTTTTTGGTAAAACAATGAAATGAAGTATGACTTCATTTGACAATGTGGTTCTTTCCAACTTTTTTTTTTTTTTTAATTATCATGTTCTTCATCCTCCCTTATTCTTGGGGATGTAATGTACTAAGAAATCTCATGTTTTTTTTGACCATGTATATGGCTATGAGTTACAACCACGTGAACGTCCGAATTCCTTTTTTTTTTTTTTTTTTTTTCTTCTGATAGCAAGACTACTTCAGTCACTTCTTTGCAGCCAGTATAATTAAATATATTGTAGGAAATTAAACTATCAAAATAATTAAGTGCTGGATCATAATCAAGAAGAGTGAAGTCAAATCTTTTTTGATCAGCTTCAGTGTTTACTTATACACACACATACATGCATACATATATGCATACACAATAATCCAATGCTACACGTTTAACTTATTCTTACAGTTGTCCTTTGATAAGTCTGTTTGAGCTTGGTGAAGCTAGTATGTCTCCTAATTAATTAACTTAAATTCTTTTTCTGCATATCATTTTTAGTATGTTACACACGACAGATATATATATATATATATAGTTTGCAAACTAGTACTAAGGAAGAATTGCATTAATTAAGACGTGCATGAAGTTTTCCTATGCTGGCTACAAAATTGGTAAGAAGTCAACTTTGTATATGTTGTTTGAATAGACATATGTACTCAAAAGAAAATCAACTGAAGCTTTCCAAGTAAAAAAAAAAAAAGTAAGAATTGATATTAATTAGTATGTTGAACGCTCTCAAAATGACTAAGAGCATTTCCAAGGGAACTTTCTAAATTTTAGTTAAATTTTAGCTAAAATAGCTAAAAAGTTATTTTAGCTAGCATTTAGGTGATTCACTCCAACCATACTCCTTATTTAGCTAAATATAAATTATTTTAAATATTTTATGAATATAGTTAAAATATAGATAACTTTAATGAATTTAAAAAAGAACGTTTGTATTTATTACGGTTGAAGGAATAAAATAATGCAAAAAATTAAATGTCTAGTCTCTCTGTACTATTTAGCTAGTGTGAAAGGTATTACCCAAAATAGCTAACTATTTAGCTAATGGTTAGAGTAGAGAAAAGCTAAAGAAAAACTAAATCATTAGCCATCGGCTAAGATTATGAAATGACTAGTATGGTTTGAGTTACTCTAACACTTTATAAAAAAAAAACTAAAATTAAAAGAAGAAGAAGACATATATATATATATATATGATATAATTTATAGTAGTTTAGTACTGGAAATAGTAGTACTTAGTAAGTTGTCAAGATCCTGTCTCTATTTCAACAACCGATATGGTGGGTTTTAGTCTTTTAGATGTTGCATGCTTTTCTCTTTGATTCATTAACTTCAACAATCAATTCCACAGTATGATCAGCATACATACATAAACATATACATACATATACCTATACGTCTATATATTATATTATATGCTATATATCTGATCCTGAAGATTGGTATATCTGGGAGCTGATGTAGCTGAATCTTGATAAATTAAAAAAAAAGGCAATAAGTACTATACTATACTCTCTAGTATAATTTAATTATTTAATCTTTTGAGCTCCAAGCATACATACTTACATATATATATATATTGAAAATTTTAGTCAAAGAATGTAGGGAGGAGAGAGACATCACTTCTCTCAGTCGTGATCTCTGTCTGTCGCTCGCTTTTCATCCAAATTTACCAGCAAAAAAGGCCAAATTTGTCCATACAGTTGATATATCTCATAGAAAAAGCCATAGATTTTGGCAAAATTAGCGTCTTTTTATGTTAATTTCTTTTTATTTCTTCTGTGGTAGCTTCTCTCCTTTGTGCTGCCATTCCTAACTTCGATGCATATATCATTTTAAGCTCCAGTATTTACATATATAGAAACTGTTGTCTCCAATACCTTTTTTTTTTTGTTTTTGTTTTTTTTTTTTGGAAGAATGTCTCCATTAATAACTGTATATAATATATCTTTCATGGAAGAAACAAGGACATCTCAGTGATCCCACATTATCTTTGATTTTAATTATATATATTAATATTCACCACACACCCCTTAGAATTTAGTGACTTCCAACTGTCCAAGAAAATCATCAAATATATCTTTTGTTATGTGTGTTAATTACCATGATATGCATGTTTGTTTAGTAACATATATTAAACAAACAAAAAAACTATATTATATAAGATTATGAGCTAGCTAATAAATGATTCATTAGAGGAAGAGAATATTATCAGTATTTTTGTAATAGTACGTAGAATTCTATTCCCAATAATTGATGAGAGAGTGAATAAAAGAAGTAGTGATTGGTTTGTAATTTGTTGATAGTAAATGAGTAGTGAGAGAGTGAAAAGGGAATGATTTTGTAATAATATGTGAATGTACTTATTGTTTGCTGGCTGAGTGAGGAGAGAGATGCAAATTAATTGGAGATGAGAGATGATAGATATCATCAGATTTGGTTGGTCATGTGGCCTAAAATTAATAATTAATAATTAAAATATTAATATAATATGGTTGATGAAATTAGTATTATAGAAAGGACAGGTCTCTCAAAAGACGCCAAAATGCCCACTCAATTCCACACACCAAAAATTCCATTCCCTTCTTTTGATCTTCAAAAACTTAAAAAGAAAAAAGTATTTTCCACATTATTTAATTTATTATTTTAGAGAGTGAGTGAATTCTCGAACTTTGTTGCATTGCATATCAAACAATTTCAGAGTAAAGATTTGCATAGTTATTGTTGTAGGAGATTCTTTTTCTTTAAAAAAAAATATTGGAGTTTTTATGAGAAACAAATATATATAGAGAATTTTTTTGATTTTTTTTTAAAACACATTGTGCGTTTGGTTAGTGAATTCGTGTCATAATTCGAATTTATAATTTATTACAATATTTTTTTTCATAAAAAATACACATAAACTGAGAATAAAACCAAACGACTACTTATATTCTTTGTTTATCAATACTCTATTCTGTATTACTCAATTAATCTAATTTAATAAATAAAAAATACCGGTATTTAAAAAAAAATCAGTAAAAGTCATATATATATATATATATATATATACACATCTATATATACACGACTAAGAGTAACAAACGTACGTCTAATGTCTGACCGTTTCGCAGGTTTGACGCGCGTGAGAGCGTGTTCTGGTCACGTACTGCTAACCGACAGAGTACTGCTTTGTCAGTTTCTGAGGACTTGATGTGTCACCCGCCGCACCAATTCCTTCTTAACTGCACGCGCCTCAATGCGGCGTGGAACTTACTGCTGCTTTTATCATATTGCCACACCAACATTCCTTTTCTCAATAAAAAAAAAAAAAAAAATCTACTTCAAAATGAGAAGTTCTAGTGTCGTGAAGAAATTTTCCAGTATGGATGCTAGCTGATTAAATATAAAATTGTGTGTAAGAATTACTATAAAGTACCTAAAATTAGACGTTATAATAGTGAAATTGATAATAATCATGTGCAAGAATCGATATACTTAGGCCTCGTTTATTTTGCGGATTCGAGTTTTCAATTCGAGTTGAGATGTGACATTTTCTGAGAGATTTTTACCGTAGTAGAAAAAGTTAGATGTGACATTTTTTGAGAGTTTTTTACTGTAGAAAACTAAAATTGAAAATTGGAATCGGTGAAATAAACGAGACCTTAGTGAATCGTGAAATGTGTTAAAATTTAAGAAAATTTCAATAAGTAATCTGAAAGTTCTAATAGCAAAATATACTAAAAAACGATCTCGTGAATTATTCAAGCGCCATAAAGTTAGCCTTTTAAATTGACTATATAACACAGCAAAATTTAGGGTCACGAATAGTGTCTTAGTGTCTTTTGATTTTCTTTTCCTTGAAGTTGTTATTGGTTCCTAATTAATGACCTTTTACGCCAAAAAAGGTTATTTATAATCAGATATACGTAAAATACGTACTAAGGCCAATATATGTCGGATATTATTTGTTGTTTAACACCATTTACGACGTTGATTATCACTTATTCTTTTATACTAATGAAAATTTCTATTTGTCATTCATTTTTTTTGTTTTCCTTTAGAAAAGAGAAACGAAACTGAGGTTGTTCCTTGATCCATAACTATCTTATATATATATATATATATCTCAAGAATGATCATCCTACATATGGCTCAAGAATATCAATAATCTATTAGTTCTCAGCTTATATGCCAAATTTAT